GGGCACCTGGAAATAATTTATCAGGCAGGTATTTCTCATCTCATAAGAATTCTCAAACATGTCTGTTGATTGTAGACAAACCTGACTGAATCATAAACCAAGAGTTAGTTGTGGCCAAATGATTTCCAAAACAAAACTGTAGAAAATTTTCAGTTTGTAGAAAATTTGAGTCCGCTTTATTGCAGGATAATTACACGCAGTAAAATTCACTATTTTTAAGTGAACAAGCTGATAACATTGTTACAAACATACGTAGCCATGCATGTAACTGTCAGTAAGATTACAAGAGAGACGATTTACAAAACCCAAAGAACTTCCCTTTCTGGCAATCACTTGCTCCTTCCCTTCTGCCCCTGGCACCATGGATCTCCTTCTTTCACTACAGGCTTGCCTTTCCTAGAACCATGTCATATAACTGGAATCTTATGTCAGGCAGTCTTCTGCGTCTGGCTTCTTTCACTCAGAATGATACTTTTGTCGCTCATCTAGGTTGTCACAATTGCCAGCATTTCATTCTTCTTCTTTTTTTTAATCAAATAATGACCCATTGTATGAATTTACAGTATCTTTTCCAGAAGTCCAGCCCCCATGTCCTCCTCTCTCAGACCTTGCAGTTGAGACCCCCAACCCCTCCTCCCTCAGACCCAGGAATCCAGGGCCCCAACCCCTCCTCCCTCAGACCCAGGAATCCAGGGCCCCAGCCCCTCCTCCCTCAGACCCAGGAGTCCAGGCCCCCAGCCCCCTCCTCCCTCAGACCCAGGAGTCCAGGCCCCCAGTCCCTCCTCCCTCAGACCCAGGAGTCCAGGCCCCCAGGCCCTCCTCCCTCAGACCCAGGAGCCCAGGCCCCCAGCCCCCTCCTCCCTCAGACCTGGAAGTCCAGACCCCCAGCTGTTCCTCCCTCAGAGCCAGGGGTTCAGCCTCCCAGCCCCTCCTCCCTCAGACCCAGGAGTCCAGGCCCCCAGGCTCTCCTCCCTCAGACCCAGGAGTCCAGGCCCCCAGCCCCTCCTCCCTCAGACCCAGGAGTCCAGCCCCCAGCCCCTCCTCCCTCAGACCCAGGAGCCCAGGCCCCCAGCCCCTCCTCCCTCAGACCCGGGAGTCCAGTCCCCCAGCCCCTCCTTCCTCAGACCCGGGAGTCCAGGGCCCCAGCCCCTCCTGCTTCAGACCCAGGAGTCCAGGCCCCCAGCTCCTACTCCCTCAGACCCAGGAGTCCAGACCCCAGCCCCTCCTCCCTCAGACCCAGGAGCCCAGGCCCCCAGCCCCTCCTCCCTCAGACCCGGGAGTCCAGTCCCCCAGCCCCTCCTCCCTCAGACCCGGGAGTCCAGGCCCCCAGCCCCTCCTGCTTCAGACCCAGGAGTCCAGGCCCCCAGCTCCTCCTCCCTCAGACCCAGGAGTCCAGACCCCAGCCCCTCCTCCCTCAGACCCAGGAGCCCAGGCCCCCAGCCCCTCCTCCCTCAGACCCGGGAGTCCAGTCCCCCAGCCCCTCCTCCCTCAGACCCGGGAGTCCTGGCCCCCAGCCCCCTCCTCTCTCAGACACAGGAGTCCTGGCCCCCAGCCCCCTCCTCTCTCAGACACAGGAGTCCAGGCCCCCAGCCCCTCCTCCCTCAGACCCAGGAGTCCAGGACCCCAGCCCCCTCCTCTCTCAGACCCAGGAGTCCAGGCCCCCAGGCCCCTCCTCTCTCAGACCCAGGAGTCCTGGCCCCCAGCCCCTCCTCCCCCAGACCCAGGAGTCCAGGACCCCAGCCCCCTCCTCTCTCAGACCCAGGAGTCCAGGACCCCAGCCCCCTCCTCTCTCAGACCCAGGAGTCCAGCCCCCAGCCCCCTCCTCTCTCAGACACAGGAGTCCTGGCCCCCAGCCCCCTCCTCTCTCAGACACAGGAGTCCTGGCCCCCAGGCCCCTCCTCCCCCAGACCCAGGAGTCCTGGCCCCCAGCCCCTCCTCCCTCAGACCCAGGAGTCCAGTCCCCCAGCCCCCTCCTCTCTCAGACACAGGAGTCCAGCCCCCAGCCCCCTCCTCTCTCAGACACAGGAGTCCTGGCCCCCAGCCCCCTCCTCTCTCAGACCCAGGAGTCCAGCCCCCAGCCCCTCCTCCCTCAGACCCAGGAGCCCAGGACCCCAGCCCCTCCTCCCTCAGACCCAGGAGTCCAGACCCCAGCCCCCTCCTCTCTCAGACCCAGGAGTCCAGTCCTCCAGCCCCCTCTTCTCTCAGACACAGGAGTCCTGGCCCCCAGCCCCTCCTCCCTCAGACCCAGGAGTCCTGGCCCCCAGCCCCCTCTTCTCTCAGACACAGGAGTCCTGGCCCCCAGGCCCCTCCTCTCTCAGACCCAGGAGTCCTGGCCCCCAGCCCCCTCCTCCCTCAGACCCAGGAGTCCAGACCCCAGCCCCCTCCTCCCTCAGACCCAGGAGTCCAGTCCTCCAGCCCCTCCTCTCTCGGACCCAGGAGTCCAGTCCCCCAGCCCCTCCTCCCTCGGACCCAGGAGTCCAGACCCCCAGCCCCTCCTCCCTCAGACCCAGGAATCCAGGCCCCCAGCCCCTCCTCCCTCGGACCCAGGAGTCCAGGACCCCCAGCCCCTCCTCCCTCAGACCCAGGAGTCCAGACCCCCAGCCCCTCCTCCCTCAGACACAGGAGTCCTGGCCCCCAGCCCCTCCTCCCTCAGACCCAGGAGTCCAGACCCCAGCCCCCTCCTCTCTCAGACCCAGGAGTCCAGTCCTCCAACCCCCTCTTCTCTCAGACACAGGAGTCCAAGCCCCCAGCCCCTCCTCCCTCAGACCCAGGAGTCCAGACCCCAGCCCCTCCTCCCTCAGACCTAGGGGTCCAGACCCCCAGCCCCTCCTCCCTCAGACACAGAAGTCCTGGCCCCCAGCCCCCTCCTCTCTCAGACCCAGGAGTCCAGGACCCCCAGCCCCTCCTCCCTCAGACCCAGGAGTCCAGACCCCCAGCCCCTCCTCCCTCAGACACAGGAGTCCTGGCCCCCAGCCCCTCCTCCCTCAGACCCAGGAGTCCAGACCCCAGCCCCCTCCTCTCTCAGACCCAGGAGTCCAGTCCTCCAACCCCCTCTTCTCTCAGACACAGGAGTCCAAGCCCCCAGCCCCTCCTCCCTCAGACCCAGGAGTCCAGACCCCAGCCCCTCCTCCCTCAGACCTAGGGGTCCAGACCCCCAGCCCCTCCTCCCTCAGACACAGGAGTCCAGTCCCCCAGCCCCCTCCTCTCTCAGACCCAGGAGTCCAGACCCCAGTCCCCTCCTCTCTCAGACCCAGGAGTCCAGTCCCCCAGCCCCCTCCTCTCTCAGACCCAGGAGTCCAGGCCCCCAGCCCCTCCTCCCTCACACCCAGGAGTCCAGACCCCAGCCCCTCCTCCCTCAGACCTAGGGGTCCAGACCCCCAGCCCCTCCTCCCTCAGACACAGGAGGCCAGTCCCCCAGCCCCCTCCTCTCTCAGACCCAGGAGTCCAGACCCCAGTCCCCTCCTCTCTCAGACCCAGGAGTCCAGTCCCCCAACCCCTCCTCCCTCAGACCCAGGAGTCCAGACCCCAGTCCCCTCCTCTCTCAGACCCAGGAGTCCAGACCCCAGTCCCCTCCTCTCTCAGACCCAGGAGTCCTGGCCCCCAGCCCCCTCCTCTCTCAGACCCAGGAGTCCAGACCCCAGTCCCCTCCTCTCTCAGACCCAGGAGTCCTGGCCCCCAGCCCCCTCCTCTCTCAGACCCAGGAGTCCAGGCCCCCAGCCCCTCCTCCCTCACACCCAGGAGTCCAGACCCCAGCCCCTCCTCCCTCAGACCTAGGGGTCCAGACCCCCAGCCCCTCCTCCCTCAGACACAGGAGGCCAGTCCCCCAGCCCCCTCCTCTCTCAGACCCAGGAGTCCAGACCCCAGTCCCCTCCTCTCTCAGACCCAGGAGTCCTGGCCCCCAGCCCCCTCCTCTCTCAGACCCAGGAGTCCAGGCCCCCAGCCCCTCCTCCCTCACACCCAGGAGTCCAGACCCCAGCCCCTCCTCCCTCAGACCTAGGGGTCCAGACCCCCAGCCCCTCCTCCCTCAGACACAGGAGGCCAGTCCCCCAGCCCCCTCCTCTCTCAGACCCAGGAGTCCAGACCCCAGTCCCCTCCTCTCTCAGACCCAGGAGTCCAGTCCCCCAACCCCTCCTCCCTCAGACCCAGGAGTCCAGACCCCAGTCCCCTCCTCTCTCAGACCCAGGAGTCCAGACCCCAGTCCCCTCCTCTCTCAGACCCAGGAGTCCTGGCCCCCAGCCCCCTCCTCTCTCAGACCCAGGAGTCCAGACCCCAGTCCCCTCCTCTCTCAGACCCAGGAGTCCTGGCCCCCAGCCCCCTCCTCTCTCAGACCCAGGAGTCCAGGCCCCCAGCCCCTCCTCCCTCACACCCAGGAGTCCAGACCCCAGCCCCTCCTCCCTCAGACCTAGGGGTCCAGACCCCCAGCCCCTCCTCCCTCAGACACAGGAGGCCAGTCCCCCAGCCCCCTCCTCTCTCAGACCCAGGAGTCCAGACCCCAGTCCCCTCCTCTCTCAGACCCAGGAGTCCTGGCCCCCAGCCCCTTCTCCGTCACACCGAGGACTCTACGCCCTGGTCTCTCTCAGGGCCCCAGGGATTTGGGAACCCCCAGGCTAGTAGGTCCTGGCTTCGGAGTCTCAAAAATCTCAAATTCTCTCATAGTCTATGAGAAAGGTACTGTTGGTGAACGCGCACTTTAGGTGGGAACAGGTTGCTTATTGGAAAGGCACAAAGAAAATAAAACAATTAAAAAGTAAAGGCACACTGCCGGGCGCAACCTGCGAGCGCAGCGCGGCGGGCGGCGGAAGCAGCCGAACCCCGCGGTCCCAGCGGCCCCGCAGCTCAGTGACCGCGCCGCGAACGTGACGTCATGGAACAGTGCGCAGGCTCGCCCCTCCTGCCCCGCCCCCAGGCCGCGGCCACGCCCCCGACTCCGGAAACTCCCCCTCCCAGGGCCGCCGCGCGGGGGGCGGTCCTCACAGGCCCCGCCCCTGACAGGCCCACCGCCCCGTTAAGCCCCGCCCCCTCCGGAAGCCTTGGCCCGAGCGGAGCTCGCCCTTCCCCGCGTGGGTCGCCGGCTGCGCGCCCCTGTCCTGCGAGCGACCCCGCGGCGGGTGCGCGGCGAGCGTGTGCCCCGTCCGCGGCGGGCTCCGCGTCGGATCCCGCTCCTTCCCGCCATGAACCGCTACCTTCTGCCGCTGTCCGTGCTGGGCACGGCGGTGGGTGGCGCGGTGCTGCTCCGGTGAGTGCCTCCAGGTGGGGGGTGGCAGGCCGGGGAGAGGTCGCCTGGTGGTCGCGGGCCTCGGACGGTCCAGACAGTGCGGCGGGGGGGCAGGCCTAGGGGGGGCCTCGAGGGCAGGTCACGGCCCAAGGTCACCCCGAGTCCTCGGAAACCTTCTGGTCACTGATTAGCGAGTCCATCCTGCAGACGTGCATTGGGCAGTCCCCATAGGTCACCCGTGACCCGGGTGCGAGGAAATGCGTGCCCCCCAAGCTCTCGTTACCCGGAATCCGAGACGCAAACCGGATCGCCCAGTGATTGTACCGCTCGGCTTATGCACGTGGTTCTTGTCTTTTCTAGGCTAATGCACTAACCGCCCGCCCGCAGAAACCCAGCTGCCCAGTATTCTAGAGCAGCGTGGCGGGTGGACTTTCTGCGCCCATGGAAGTGTTTCACGTTTGTGCGGTCCGTTATGACAGCCATCACACACGGCTACCCGGCGCTCAGAGCATGGCTTGTGGTTAACGAGACTGTACTCCAGCACCGGTTAAGAGGGTGCAGCTCATTGGGGCGCCTGGGTGGCTCAGTCGTTAAGCGTCTGCCTTCAGCTCAGGTCATGATCCCAGGGTCCTGGGATCGAGCCCCGCACCGGGCTCCCTGCTCGGCGGGGGGTCTGCTTCTCCCTCTGAACCTCCCCCCTCTCATGCTCTCTCTCTATCTCATTCTCTCTCAAATAAATAAAATCTTTATTAAAAAAAAAAAAGAGGGGCGCCTGGGTGGCTCAGATGGTTAAGCGTCTGCCTTGGGCTCAGCTCATGGTCCCGGGGTCCTGGGATCGAGCCCCGCACCGGGCTCCCTGCTCCTTGGGAGCCTGCTTCTCTCCCTCTGCCTCTCTCTGTCTCTCATGAATAAATAAATAAAATCTTAAAAAAAAAAAAAAAGAGGGTGCAGCTCATTCGGGCGCCTGGGTGGCTCAGACGGTTAAGCGTCTGCCTTGGGCTCAGGTCAGGATCCCAAGGTCCTGGGATCGAGCCCCGCACCGGGCTCCCTGCTCAGTGGGGAGCCTGCTTCTCCCTCTGCCTCTCTCTCTCTGTCTCTCATGAATAAATAAATAAAATCTTTAAAAAAAAAAAAAAGAGGGTGCAGCTCATGTGTTCTTACAGTTGAAAAAAAGAATTGGCAACGTATAATTTCATTACACTTACACAATACAAGAGATTGGCTGGGAGGCCTGGAAGTAATTGGAATATGGAAATACACACACACACACACACATATATATATATTTAAATGTTTTATTTATTTATTCATGAGAGTCAGAGAGAGAGAGAGGGGCAGAGGGAGAAGCAGGCCTCCCGCCGAGCAGGGAGCCCGATGCGGGACCCGATCCCAGGACCCCGGGATCATGACCTGAGCCGAAGGCAGACGCTTAACCATCTGAGCCACCCAGGCGCCCACACATATATATATTTTAAGGGCATAAACCATAGACTGTAAACCTTTGGGTTTATTTGCCTGCGCTGTGATGAGGCTTCGTGGTGAACTTGTTGCTCCTGATCTGATAAAGTCATCTTCAGGGAGTTTTGATTTATAATTCATTACACTGCGGCTCTGTGATATTAACTGGGTGTTTTTTTTTTTTTTTTTTTAAGGTTTTATTTATTTATTATACAGAGAGAGACACAGCGAGAGCAGGAACACAAGCAGGGGGAATGTGAGAGGGAGAAGCAGGCTTCCCACCGAGCAGGGAGCCCGATGCGGGGCTCGATCCCAGGACCCTGGGATCATGACCTGAGCCGAAGGCAGACGCTTAACGACTGAGCCACCCAGGCGCCCAACTGGGTGTTTTTGAAAGGTCTAGAAAATGGAGATAGTTCTTTTTTAAATGGAAATAATTTTCCCGTGTGATAAAATTCATCAGCTGCTGTTTGTTTTTATTCATACTGCTGTCTTTCACTTCTGAAGACCTAAAAATAGTAACAATAATAAAGGGAGGGCATGGGATGGGCAGAATGAGAGGTTAGCTGAATGCCCTGGGGAAAAAGTATGGCTGTTTATTTTTAATTAACTTAAATAAAAAATTAGCCCCAGGAGGCTGGCGGTTTCCGTGCTGTACAGGGCCTTTCTGTCACGTGGTGGCATTTTTACGTGGCCGGTCCCCTATCAGTGACATTCACTTGTTTCCAGTATTTGGCCTCTGGGGAATGTGGGTAAAGGGTAAGAGCCCCCCAAAGATGCGCATGTTGTAGGGCTCAGAACTGTGAAGGTCTTACCTTAGCTGTCACAGGGGACCTTGCAGGTGACATTGAGTTAAGGACCCTGAGATGGGGAGGTGGTCCTGGGTTGTCCGGGGGTGGGGGGCGCCCAGTGCAATCACAGTGCTCCTTCAGAGTCAGTGACCTGAAGACACCGCTCTGCTGACTTTGGAGACAGAGGAGGAGGGGCCGCGAGCCAGGGAGTGTGGGCGCCTCTAGGAGCTGGAAAAGGCATGGGACCCGCCTCTCCCCTAGAGCCTCCAGAAGGAGCGCAGTCCTGCCAACACCCAGCCCTTATCTTGGTGAGACCCATCTTGGACTCCTGCCTGCAGACCCGTAGATTACCTGTGCATGGTTTTAACCGGCCCAGCTTGTGGTAACTTGGTGTGGCAGCCATAGAAACCAACCCAGTGGGTCTTTACAAAGACTGACCTTTTGCCTGCAACACCATACTGGACCTCACGGAGTTAGATGTCCTTCCCGTCTTTCCGCTGGGGGAACACAAGCGCAGTGGGGTCATTCACCCAGGATCCTAACAGTCAGGGGCACGTGCGGTGAGGGTGAGTGGACCCCCATGGACGGAAGTGACCACCTCGCTTCTTACCTGCAGAGACTACGTTGCGGGCGGGGTCTGTCCCAGCAAGGCCACCATTCCTGGGAAGACCGTCATTGTGACCGGCGCCAACACGGGCATCGGGAAGCAGACGGCCTTGGAGCTGGGCAGAAGAGGTGAAGTCCCAGGGGGCGCCTGGCTTGGGGCGTGAGGTCTGGGATGGAGCGTTTGCTCTCCTGGGGGATTGTTTTGGTTGCAAGTGGCAGAAACCAAAGTCACGCCGGCTTAAGCCAGAAAGGCTGGTGTCCCTGAGAGAGGTAGGGGGGACTTTGGGTCTTAGAGGAGGCTGTGGACACTTGGACTGGGGTTATGGAGGAAGTCCACGGAGGAGGATTGATCGCTTTTGAAGTTAGAATTAGTGGATTTCCTGTTGAGTCAGACACCAGAAAAGAAGTCAAGGATTTAGGTTTGAGCAACTGGGAGACCAGACTTGCCTTTGGCTGGGGTGGGAAGGCTGTGGCAGGGCAGGTGTGAGGGCTGGGGGAGATGGGAAACTTTCTTTGGGCTTGACGGGTTGGGGTGGCCGGGGGAATGGGTCCTGATGGGCTAGGCTGGAGCTGCCTGTCTGCCTCCGAGGTCAGAGTGGTGGGGGCCGTGATGGGCAGCACCCCCCCCACCACATGGGGTTTCCCCAAGGATGGGGGCACCTGCTCCTCCCAGGAGAAGGTGAGAAGTGAAATCGGGTGGACACCCCCACCCACTGCTGTCTGGAGGGCCCGGCGGCAACAGAGGATGAACAGATCCCGGGTTGGCTGAGTTCCCTTGTGGACCGAGGGAGGGGAGGCGGGGTGTGTTGGAGGCAGCTGGGCCCATGGTGGGCAGACGAGCCACGCGGATCCACATCCGTCCTTCTCCAATCCCTGCTTCTTCTCACTTCTCTAATTTTTTAAAGTTTTTTTTTTTTTTTTTTTTTTATGGCTGTGTTGAAATTCAATCCACACATCACATAATTCACCCGTCAAGCGTACACGCTGGTGTTTAGTATATTCCCAGATTTGTACGAACATTGCTAATCAGTTTCGGAACATTTTCATCAAAATGACAGCTCGGTCCTCTTAGTGGTCACCCTAGTGTCCCCCCCCCCTCCCCCCCGGGAACCATCCATCTACCTCCTGTGGATCGGCCTGTTATGGATATTTCATGTCAATGGAATCATAGGCTACGTATATTTTTTTTGTGACTGGCTGCTTCCAGCAAGCACGTTCGTGAGGTCCATGCACGTTGTAGTATGTGTCACGTTCCTTTCCGTGGCCGAGTAGATTCTAGGGTCTGGATGGACCACCTTGTGCTTCTCCGCTCAGCCGCTGATGGACATTTGGGTGGTTTCCATCTTTCGGCTGCTGTGAATGGTGCCACTATGTGCTCACGTTTACATGCTCTTGTGCAGACCTCTGTTTTCATGTGTGTTCTCTCTCTGTACCTGGGAGAGGATTTAAAAAATACTTTTTTCCTGTCCTGGGCTCGCAGGAGGCAACATCATTCTGGCCTGTCGAGATATGGAGAAGTGTGAGGCGGCGGCAAAGGACATTCGTGGGGAGACCCTTAATCACCGCGTCAGGGCCCGGCACCTGGACCTGGCCTCCCTCAAGTCCATCCGAGAGTTTGCCGCGAAGATCATCGAAGGTAGGAGGGAGGACGCCGGCCTTGGGGGCGAGGTCCTGGGTAGCCACAAGTCCTAGAGTGTTTTCGGTGCTGGTGTTTTCGGACAGGTGCAGATTTCTACGCGCGAAGATCGTACATTTTTATATCTCCTGACATTGTCGCGTGAAAATATTTTTCATTTCAACTGTTCACATAAATCAAAAGAGTAATATTTCTGGGTATGTGAACACTGTATGGAATTCAGATATCGGTGTTCACAAATAAAGTTTTATTGGCACACGGTCCTGTTAGCTTAGGTATTCTCTGTGGCTGCTTTAGTCCTACGACAGCAGAGGCCGTATGGCCTGCAAAGCCAGAAATACCTAGTCTGGTCCTTTACAGGGAAAGTTTGCTCTGTGGGACTCCTGCTCTGTAGGAAGACGAACTCCTTCGGCCCGAGAGCCGACAAGACGCAGAGGCCCAGGTGAGGTTAGGTGTGCAGGGAGCTGGCAGGTGAGTTAGCCCAGTGAAGGCAGGCGGAAATGCTGACTCATCCAGCAGTTGCTGAGCCTCCCCGGCCCCCCTGGCTGATGGGTGATGCCCGGGACGCAGAGAGGAGTCAGATGCAGGCCCTGCGCCCGGTCCAGCGGGGGACGCCACCGCACAGCACAGAGTACCCGGAGCTCCCACTTTCTCTGCTGGGTGTTTCTTTTCGCAGATGCGGGGATTCGGCGGGCATTTTTCTGCACTTGGTCCCACGGGTGACTCACTCATTTCCGCGTCCCACCAGATATTCTCTGCTGGGTGTTTCTTTTCGCAGATGCGGGGATTCGGCGGGCATTTTTCTGCACTTGGTCCCACGGGTGACTCCCTCATTTCCGCGTCCCACCAGATATTCTCTGCTGGGTGTTTCTTTTCGCAGATGCGGGGATTCGGCGGGCATTTTTCTGCACTTGGTCCCACGGGTGACTCACTCATTTCCGCGTCCCACCAGATATTCTCAGAACTGGCTCACGTCTTTATGCTTTCAAACAGGGGTACCATTTTACAGGACTAAACATTCGGAAAGTACAAACGGGGCTACAGCCAAACACCTCCCTGCCACTAGCCACCAGCTGCCTTCCTCAGATGTGTTCAGTGTCCTCGTGTGTCCTTTTGGAGACAGTTTGGGCATTTATAAAGCAAGCAGGTGTATATATCTCTTCTTGGTTGTTTATTTTTATTTCATTTTTTTTAAAGATTTTATTTATTTGAGAGAGAGAGAATGAGAGACAGAGAGCATGAGAAGGAGGAAGGTCAGAGGGAGAAGCAGACTCCCCGCCGAGCAGGGAGCCCGATGCGGGACTCGATCCAGGGACTCCGGGATCATGACCTGAGCCGAAGGCAGTCGCTTAACCAACTGAGCCACCAGGCTCAGTTTTTAGAGAGAGCGAGCATGAGCGGAGGGGAAAGGAACAGAAGGAGAGAGAGAACCCTAAGCAGACTCCACGCCCAGCGTGGCCCAACGCGGGGGCTTGATCTCACGACCCTGAGATCGTGACCTGAGCTGAAACCAAGAGTCGGACGCTTAACCGACTGAGCCACCAGCATGGCCCTCCCTTGGCTTTTTTATACAACTAGGGCCTGTCACACATGTGGTGCTCTCTCCCCCCCCATTCTACCCAGCAAGTTCTAGTATTATCTGTTTTTACAGAGGGGGAAACCGAGTCACAGAGAAGCTGTGTGACTTGGCCAGGGTCATACCGCTTCTCAGGGCAGAGCCAGGGGATTTGAACTGTCATCTGATGGCTCCAGAGTATGTGTTCCTGACGGCTCTGCTAACCCCCTCCACCCTCGAGGCCAAACAGAGGCTGTTTCCTAGATGACTAACCTGTTATCCCCACGGATCCTGCAAACTGCTTTCAGAGTGTTATGGGTTCTGCTGTGTCCCCTCAAAAGATGTGTTGGGGTCCTAATCCCCAGGACCTCAGCACGAGGCCTGATCTGCAGAGAGGGTCTGTACAGACGTGATTAAGCCCTATTCCAGTGACTGGTGTCCTCATACGGAGGGGAGATTAGGACGCAGACAGGCCCGAGGGAAGAGACAGGGAGAAGGCGGCCAGTCACCTGTGAGCCCAGGAGAGAGACTCCAGCGCAGATTCTCCCTCGTGGTCCTTGGTCCTTGGAAGGATACAGCCCTGAGACACACTGACCCCGGGCTTCCCGCCTCCAGAACTGGGACACAGCACGTTCAAGCAGCCCATTGTGTGATGCTTTGTTACAGCAGCCCTTGCTAACTGATGCGGGGAGGAAGGTGCTATTACTCGTCCCATTTTACAGAGGAGGAAATAGAGGCTTGGAGAGGGACAGTCGTTTGTGCCTGTGACGTGGCAGGTCTGGAATCAGGTGTGGCATGGGCTGCCCGCCGAGCTGGTGTTCCCACGAGTAACCCCCCAGGCTGAGGCCCCTGCAGATGTGGCTTCTTTCCCTTTCCAGGAAAGGTCTCCAAGCCTCAGGTGTGTTGTGTTTTCTGGGGCTGCCGTCACCAAGGACAGCAAACTGAGTAGGTTGAGATGAGAGTCTGTTCTCTTCACAGTTGTGGAGGCCAGAAGTCCAAGATCAAGGTGTCAGCAGGGCGGCAGCCTTCCTGAGACCGGGAGAATCCTTCTGCCTCTTTCAGCTTCTGGCGGGGGCTGTCAGTCCTCCGTGGTCTGCAGTCTCTGCCTCTGTCTCGCTGCGGTCTCAGCCTGTGTCCTACTGGATTAGGGCCCACAATGTGACCTTCTCTTTTTTTTTTTTTTAAGATTTTATTTATTTATTTGAGAGAGAGAGAATGAGAGAGAGCATGAGAGGGAGGAGGGTCAAAAGGAGAAGCAGACTCCCCGCCGAGCAGGGAGCCCGATGCGGGACTCGATCCCGGGACTCCAGGATCATGACCTGAGCCAAAGGCAGTTGCTTAACCAACTGAGCCACCCAGGCGCCCCATGTGACCTTCTCTTAAACTGATTACTTTTTGCAAAGACTCTTTCCAAAAACAGTTTGCATTCCCAGGCTCTGGGTGGACATGAGTGTTTCAGGGACACTGTTCGGCCAGCCCGGTGCTGGGGCGCTTCCCACCAATCGCACGCAGGCCCGTACAGGACTGACATGTTTGCCCTCGCCCCTGTCTTCCAGAGGAGGAACAAGTGCACATTCTGGTCAACAATGCAGCTGTGATGCGGTGCCCCCACTGGACCACCGACGATGGCTTTGAGATGCAGTTTGGTGTTAACCACTTGGGTGAGGTCACGGGCTGAGGGCTGCGTGGTGTATCGTGAGCCTGGGATGTGAGTGGGGTTCCCCGGTGGGCCAGGCATGGGCTCTGGGGAGGGCCAGAGTCCTCCTCTGCTCTCCAGGGCAGCTGGGCAGCCACCTGTGGGGCCACCTGGCGGCTCAGGGAGTTGCCTATTCATTGCTGGATGCTCTGTCAGTTCTTTGGATCCTCCATCCATCTCTTGGCCTTTTGGCCCTTTGTCTGTCCTCCAGTCTGTCTGTCCATCAGTCACTTTGTCTGTCTACCTGTTGTCACCCTGGATATAACTGGAGTTCTGTTAGTAAGGGCAAGGGGGGAAACACATATTGGACGGGCGCCAATCACCGGATTAGGGTCCACCCTAATGGCCTCATTTTCACTGTAAAGACCCTCTCTCTGAATAAGGCCACATGTTGAGGTCCTGGAGGGTCAAAACGCACATCACTGTCATTTGTGGCCTATTGGCTGGGATGCAGTCACATGACCTGACGTCACTGCAAGGGAGTCTGGGAAATATAGTCTTTCAATGGGCAGTCCTGTGCACAGCCAACAGTTCTATTGCTGAAGGAGACATGGGAGGCAGTCGGTCTCCCCAGCTGACCTCATGGGGTTCTTGCAGGGCCTGACGTTTGGGGCTGGGTCACTCTTTGCTGTGGGCCCATCCTGTGCAGTATAGGGTGTCCAGCAGCATCCCTGGCCTCCTCCCACTAGACGCCAGGAGCACCCCCTTTTCTCTCTAGAGTTATGATGACCAAAACCTCTAGACATTGCCAGATGTCCCCTGGGGGAGAGAACTGGCTCCTGTCGAGAGCCATGGATTATTGGGAGGGTCAAAGAAGTTAATGTTCTCAGTACAATCCTAGGTACCAGGTAAGAATTCAGTGAAAATTGTCTTTTTGTTGTCCTTCGTCCAGGTCACTTTCTTTTGACAAACTTGCTGCTGGACAAGCTGAAAGCCTCGGCCCCTTCACGGATCATCAACCTCTCGTCCTTGGCCCACGTTGCAGGACACATAGACTTTGATGACTTGAACTGGGAGAAGAGGAAGTATGACACCAAAGCAGCTTATTGCCAGAGTAAGCTGGCCATCATCCTCTTTACCAGGGAGCTGAGCCGGCAGCTGCAGGGTACGTGTGTGGCGAGCCTCGCTGGCCTCCTTCTTCCTCTATCTCTGAGCCTGGAACAGTCCTGCTCCGACCCTGGGCCCAGGGGAGGTCAAGCAGCGGTTCCAGAAGAGGCAGACAAGTGACACACATGCCACCATGTTCCTTGGGGCCTGGAGCAGACATCACTGATCAATCGTGGCATTCTTCCGTGCTCACAGGCATCTAAGCCGTTGGTGCTCTGGGCTAGTGGTTCTCAACCACGGCAATATCTGAAGATGGCTGCGGCCATCGCTTCAGGGAGTGGAGGTGGGGTGGGTGTTGCTACTGGCATCTAGCTGCTCAGCATCCTGCAGCGCACAGGATAAAGAATGATCTGACCTCAGGGTCCACAGAGCTGAAATTGAAAAGTCTGCCCTTTGCCCTGCTCCTCAGAGAGCACCCGTGGACCAGCAACATCAGCTGGGAGCTTGTCATAATTACAGCGTCTCAGACCCCATCCCTGACCCACTGCTTCACATTCCCTGGGGGTGGGTAGAGCCCAGCAGTTTGGGTGTCTCAAGCCCTCTGGGTGATTTTTTACATACGCTCAGGTTTGGGAGGCTCTGCTCTGGGCAGTCATGCAGCAGGGCGGCTTTGCAAGATGAAACCACTTTGACATGGAAGTTTCAGAGCAAGAGAGGTGATGTGGATTCAAGGGTCGGACCCAGCATAGTACGGGGTAGCCCTGGAGCTGAGGGTGGGCCGTGTCAGCCTTCCAGGTGGGAAGTGAACCTGGCGTCTGCCCACCCCCTCATCCCTGCTCTTCCCTCCTCTCCCCTTCTCTCCCCAGGCACGGGTGTGACCGTCAATGCTTTGCACCCTGGTGTGGCCAGGACAGAGCTGGGCAGGCACACAGGCATGCACAGCTCTGCCTTCTCCAGCTTCACACTCGGTAAGCCACCTCCTGGCCTGGGGTCCCTGAGCTGAACCCCTGCCCTCACAGCTTGGGGGCTGGGACTCTCTTCAGGGTATTAGTCAGGGTTCTGCAGAGAAACAGAACCAATAGGATATATATAGATGCTTGGGAGATTTGTCATGCGGGATTGGCTCATGTGTTTATGGAGGCTGAGAAGTCCTGTGATCTGCCATCTGCATGCTGGAGGCCCAGGAAGGCTGGTGGTGTAGTCCCAGTGCAAACCCAAAAGCCTGTAAACCAGGGGAGCGATGATGTAAGTCCCAGCCTGAAGGCCAGGAGCACTATCTGAGGGCAGGAGATGGATGCTCCAGCTCAAGCAGAGAGGGGGAATTCGCCCTTCCTCCACCTTTTTGTTCTGTTCTCACCCTCAACTAATAGCTTGGCTGCCCACATTGGCGAGGGCGGATCTCTTTAGTCACTCTACTGATTCCAATGCTAATCTCTTCTGGTCACATCCTCGTGGACACGCCCAGAAGTAATGCTTTACCAGCTTTCTGGGCATCCCTTAGCTCAGTCAACTTGACACAAAATTAACCGCACACTCAAGAGACTATGTCAGTGGCTTGGCTCTGCCCCCTCCCCTGTGTCTTCTAGGGTACTGAAAATGAGTCACTTCTACATGTGTATCCAGCCTGCTGGCCTCAGAATAGCCCCAGGAAACAGGCTAGATCCTCTTTGATGAGAAAACTGAGTCAGAGAAGGAGACCTTGGAGCTGACTCCTGGTTGTGCTCGGGGTGACTCCAGCTTCACCCCAAACTAGCTGTGCCAGCCAGGGAAGCAACTTCACCTCTTGGGGCTCCAGTTTCCCAACTACAAAATGAGGGCCATACTAGTGTCCTCCTCACAGTTGTTGGGAGGATGAGATGGGCCTTAAAAGGGCCAGCACAGGGCCTGACCAGCTTTAAGCCGAATAAATAATTAGAACTTTAGAACTAGTATTTATAATCCTGAAAATCATTTACAGGGTGGGTGCCAGATACCATGGATCTTAAGCTGAGGCTGGCCCCAGAGACATTTAATAAGTAAAAGTTATTTTAAAGCAAGATGGGGTAGGGTAAAGACTCGGAGCTGACTGAGGAGGGAGAGCTTCCATTTGCCTGGGGAAAAGCCAGGGAGCCTTGCTGGGGGAGGCAGCTTTTGGGCTGGTCTCTGCACCTGGATGGATTTGGCTGGGCAGTGCCTGGGAAGGGAGCTCCTGGTGGAGGGCACCTTGGAGGCACAGGCCTGGAGGTGGGCTGTGTGGGACTGCAGTCCCACATCTGGCCTCTGGGCAACCCTGGGGGTGGAATAGGGCTTTTCGTGTCCTCCTCCCTGAATGTGTGCTGACTGAATGCTCTGTGGGCTGACTGCAGGGCCCATCTTCTGGCTGCTGGTCAAGAGCCCCCAGCTGGCAGCCCAGCCTAGCACGTACCTGGCTGTGGCAGAGGAATTGGAAGGTGTTTCTGGAAAGTATTTTGATGGACTCAAAGAGAAGCCTCCAGCCCCTGAAGCTGAGGATGAGGAGGTAGCCCAGAGACTTTGGGCTGAAAGTGCCCGCCTGGTGGGCTTGGAGATGTCCGGTGGTTCCTCTGGGAGGGGGCAGCCCCTCCCCAAATAACCTCTGGGAGCCTTTGAAAACCACATGGGAGGCTGAGTACCAGGATGGAGCGGCAAGACCAACCAAGGCTGGCGGCTCTGTCTGCAGCACCCTCTAGGTGGCAGTATTGGCCAAGGAATGCTGACTGCTATGCCCACGTCACCCTCTAGGTGGCAGTCTTGGCTGCGTGAGCCTCAAGACCACTGCTGTCATGCCCTCAGCCTCCTCTAGGTGGCAGTATTGACTAAAGAATGCTGACTGCCGTGCCCACGCCACGCTTTAGGTGGCAGTGTTGGCTGCGTGAGCCTCAAGACCACTGCTGTCATGCGCTCAGCCTCCTCTAGGTGGCAGTATTGACTAAAGAATGCTGACTGCCGTGCCCACGCCACGCTTTAGGTGGCAGTGTTGGCTGCGTGAGCCTCAAGACCACTGCTGTCATGCGCTCAGCCTCCTCTAGGTGGCAGTATTGACTAAAGAATGCTGACTGCCGTGCCCACGCCACGCTTTAGGTGGCAGTGTTGGCTGCGTGAGCCTCAAGACCACTGCTGTCATGCGCTCAGCCTCCTCTAGGTGGCAGTATTGACTAAAGAATGCTGACTGCCGTGCCCACGCCACGCTTTAGGTGGCAGTGTTGGCTGCGTGAGCCTCAAGACCACTGCTGTCATGCCCTCAGCCTCCTCTAGGTGGCAGTATTGACTAAAGAATGCTGACTGCCGTGCCCACGTCACGCTTTAGGTGGCAGTGTTGGCTGCGTGAGCCTCAAGACCACTGCTGTCATGCCCTCAGCCTCCTCTAGGTGGCAGTATTGACTAAAGAATGCTGACTGCCGTGCCCACGTCACGCTTTAGGTGGCAGTGTTGGCTGCGTGAGCCTCAAGACCACTGCTGTCATGCCCTCAGCCTCCTCTAGGTGGCAGTATTGACTAAAGAATGCTGACTGCCGTGCCCACGCCACGCTTTAGGTGGCAGTGTTGGCTGCGTGAGCCTCAAGACCACTGCTGTCATGCCCTCAGCCTCCTCTAGGTGGCAGTATTGACTAAAGAATGCTGACTGCCGTGCCCACGTCACGCTTTAGGTGGCAGTGTTGGCTGCGTGAGCCTCAAGACCACTGCTGTCATGCGCTCAGCCTCCTCTAGGTGGCAGTATTGACTAAAGAATGCTGACTGCCGTGCCCACGCCACGCTTTAGGTGGCAGTGTTGGCTGCGTGAGCCTCAAGACCACTGCTGTCATGCCCTCAGCCTCCTCTAGGTGGCAGTATTGACTAAAGAATGCTGACTGCCGTGCCCACGCCACGCTTTAGGTGGCAGTGTTGGCTGCGTGAGCCTCAAGACCACTGCTGTCATGCCCTCAGCCTCCTCTAGGTGGCAGTATTGACTAAAGAATGCTGACTGCCGTGCCCACGCCACGCTTTAGGTGGCAGTGTTGGCTGCGTGAGCTCAAGACCACTGCTGTCATGCCGGCACCACCCTCGAGGTGGCAGTACTGCCCAAGGAACGCTGGCTGCCATGCGCATACCACCCTGTAGGGGTCACTAGCGGCCCTTTTCTCAGGCACAGTGGATGGGACTGCAGATGCGCACCTGTCGCAACTGATGCGGTGCGCCCCGCAGCCCGCAGGTGCGCGGGGCCGTCAGACACCTGCCTTGAGCGTGTAACTGGGAACTGAGGGAGGAGTCCGCTCCCTCCGGCGTGGCCGTCAGGAGAGCCTGTGCAGAACTGTATGGCCGTTGGGAAGGTTGTCGGCCAGACACGGTCAAGGTCGTGGTTCCCCGTGGGACCGTGCACGCCCTCAGTTGCCTTTCTGAGCCTCGGTTTCTCCCTCTGTGAATGTGCAGAATAACCTGACTACCTCGCGGGGCGGTGTGGTGACGACGGAGTTCTCGCCTTGCTGCTGAACGTTCGCTTGCGCGTGCCATACCCTGGGCGAGCCGCCGGGGTCACCCCTGAGGACAGGCCTTGTAATGCCAGTCCTGCTCGGGACAGCAAGGGTGAGAAGCCCACCAGCTGCGCAGCTTCGGTGGCAGAATCGGGGCTGGCACTCAGCTCCCGCACAGAATGGAGGGGGGGCGCACCACAAAGCTCAGGAATCAAGATTCAAGTGTTTTAACATAACAAACATGTACCATTTGAGATGCTTGTGGAGGCCAGAGATGCTGCTCCATGCCCTCCACTACCCAGAACATCAGCCAGTGGCCCTGCCCCAAATGCCGACAGTGCTGAGGAAGGTGGGATTAAAGACGGCTCGAAGTTTTATAAATACGGTGAGTTTTCTTTCTGTTACCACATCAGACCACAGCAGCCGAAGGATAGGTCTGGGATGAACGGACTCGGGTAGGCACCTTCCGCATGGACCCCAACGATCCCCACAGCCCCCTGTCCACGGCCTTCTTACCCTCCAGCTGTGGGCTGGCCCTAGCTACTCACTTCCAGTGCAAAGAACAGGGCAAAGCCGACGGAACATCCAGTTCTGGGGTTCGGTTACTGACGGGCATCTGTAATGCTAGCTCGTGCTTGCCGGCCCTCACACTGCCTGGCGTGAGCCACCCTGAGGAGAGGCCAAGAGCTGGACAGCCAGAGAAGGTGTGAACGCCAGGAGGTGGGAATCACGGGGGTGGGGTATTCTGGGAGCCCGTTCACCACAGGGATACACACACCACACACACGTACATAGATCACACGCGTGCACGTATCCTTATGTAGCATATGCATTTCTTACCATGGAATTGGAAAAACCACGTTTGAGAAATACTTCAACTGGTAGTACGGTGGTCTGAGGGTAACCGCGAAACCCCTGGTTCTCTAAACAAAGGTCCAGGATTCGCCTGGAGGTGATGGTATTTGCTAATGTAAGCAAAATACAATGATCAAAGTCAAGAAAATAATAATGATGGTGCTAATATCTGATACCAATCTATAGACATTGGAATTTTATCAGTGATAATGTCCCTTATAGCAAAAAAAACCTCCACAAAATTCTTTTGTGACCCAATCACAGATCCAATCCAGAACCACACTTTGCGTTACTTGGCATGTCTCCTTAACCTGCTGCAACGGTCTTTCTCTTTCATGAGCTGGACTCCCACCACTGATGGTGCCCCTTCTTACTTATATAAGTTATAATATAAGTATAAGGTTATACTTATATTACTTACTTACTTCTTACTTACTTCTGAAGAGTCCTGCCCAGGTATTTTATAGAAAGTGCTTCAGTTTGGGTTGCCTGTGATTTCCTGGTGATTAAATTCAGGCTACGTGTTTTTGGTAAGAATACCACAGGAGTGATGCTGTGTTCTTCGCGGTGCCTTACGTCAGGAGACAGGAGATGTCTTTGTCCCATCATCGGTGCTATCAGTCATGACACCCTGTGGCAGGGGTGCATGGGGCGAAGGGCCCAGAGCCTTGCTGCCCCTGGACACCCCACTCTCTGCACCTCCACGTGCTCACCAGCCCTGGAGCTCCCGTATGGACTTCCTGCCCCCCTGCTGTCTGCAGTTTTGGCGGGTCTCTCAGTCAGAGTCCCTTGTCTTTGCATATGTGGCAAGCGGGCACACGGATGTGATTCGAGCAAGACCAGCCAGACCCTCTCCTTGAATGTGGATCTTGATGGGGCCGACACCAAGACGAGTAACGTGTGTTCCTGTCGGTTCCTGGTCCCTGCACCCTAGCTCCGGTCTGTACGAGCTTCATAGGGCTGCTCTCACAGATGACCACAAACTGGGGGGCTTAAAGCATACACACTTACTCTGTTAGAGTTCTGGACGTCAGATGTCCAGAATGGGTCTCAGGGCTAGCGTCAAGGGCTCAGCCAGAGCTGTGTTCCTTCTGGAGGCTCAAGGGGAGAATCTGCTTCCTGCCTTGTCCAGCGTCTAGGGGCCCCCACATTCCTCGCCTCCTGGCCCTTCCTCTGTCTGCAGGGCCAGCTGTGGTGGGCCAAGTCCTCACGCTGCCATCTTTCTGGCTCTTTCTTTCCCCTTTTAAGGAGGATCCCCAGGTTCCAGGGTCACCTCTGTCCTTTACATCGGCTGGTGAGCAACTGAATTCCATCTGCCACCTTAACCCCCCTTTGCCATGCAAAGTAACGGGTCCTGGGGTTTAGGATGTGGATCTCTTTGGGGCGGCCACTGTTCTGCCTACTACACCGTCCTCTTCAAAACCTGCTTCCTTAGCTTTTCTCAGGGCTGTGAGCTTCTTGGGTCACTTCCCATCAATTCCCTTCTTTTAAGTAGAACCCTCATCAACGGTGTTGCTTGCAAGCAAGTCAAATGAAATGAGCAGATGTTACCACTAACTCCCTACTACTCACTCTAAAAAAAAAAAAGGCCCAGGGAGGCTTCCCCCTACTCCCCGCTGGCTCAGTTGGAAGAACACATGACTCTTGATCTCAGGGTTGTGAGTTTGAGCCCCACTGTGGGCGTGTTGACTTAAAAACAAAAACTGAACAAACCCTGGCGTGCCTGAGCAAGAAGAGTTGGAATCCAGTCTGATTCAGAAGCCCACATTCGTGGGGGAAACAGGGGCTTGGATGGAAGGAATGGGAAGCCCAGCCCACTGGGGCGGCGGTCCCCACAGGGACTGATCTCTTGCATAGACAAGTGCAACGTGGCTTGGGGTTAATTCTAGCCACAAACCCTCACAACCAACATCTGCTTCCTCTCTGGAACTGAGAAACCCCAAGGACCACAAATGTTGACTCACAAACCACGTAACCCCTGCCTTACTCTCCTGAAGGCTTTGAGGTGGCTACAACCCTGAAGAGAGTCCCCAGAGAGATGAAGGATGATTAAAAACGGGCCTAAAAAAAAAAAAAAAAAAAAAAACCACACCCAAACCCCCAGAAATCCAGAGAGAGCATTGTGGCAAAGTAATAAGCAGACTGAAGAACCAAATGTAAAAGGGTGATGCTTCAGGAGTTTTTGTTTTGTTTTTCCCAAAAAGAGACCTGAGGCGATGTCAAACGCTTCAGATTGCTCTTTGCGCTTGGGGAATTCTGCCAGGATTCCGTGGGCTGCCTGTGTTTGCTGTGCTGGGAAACGTGCGGGGTGTAAGCTGGGATGACAGTCACACCAGGCATAAGTAAGAAGGGGCACCGTCACAGCGGTGGGAGTCCAGAGGTAAGGCGGGCTTTGTGTTCTGTGATACGGCCCAGCTTCCTCCTGCCGACTGACCATCCGACTGGGGTCAACTTCATCCCAAGGCTGGGTCTCTAGCCAGTCGGAGTGTGAACCCCTAAGAGATCCGTCCAAGTCCAAACCCTCGGCACCTGTGAGTGTGAGCTAATTTGGAAAAAGTTGCTTTGCAGATAAAATTAAATGAAGGATCCCGAGATGAGACCATCCTAGATTATCCAGGGGTCCCTAAATCCAGCGGTAAGTGTCCTTATAAGAGACAGAAGAGGAGGTGACACAGAGTGGAGAAGGCCACGTGGAGACAGGGCAGAGAGTGGAACGATGCAGCCTAACACCGAGGAACACTAGGACCCCCAGAAGCTGCCAAAGGCAGCACGGGACAGACTCCCCTTGAGCCTCTGAAGGTCGCATGGCCCTCCTGACACCTTCAGTTTGGACTTCTGGCCTCTGGAACTGTGGGACAGTAAATGTTGTTTTAGGTCAGCGGGTTGATGTTAATTGTCACAACAACCAGAGGGAATTAATACAGTCTCTTTGGGGGTCACAGGATGGTTGCTAGAGCCGACGGGGACCACTTGCTTGTTTTCTGTCCGGTGGGAGAGAGAAGGGCTTCTCTTTCTTTTGCCTACTGGGGTTTATCTTCAAACCCATAAAAGCCCCCCAGGGAATGCCAGGGAGTAATGGATGAAAGGCAGGTTCCCCGACACCAGTGCTCTTAATGTTCAGGGCTGGATAATCCTGGCTGTGGGGCAGGGGGTGTCCTGGGTACCGTGGGATGTTGAGCAGCATCCCTGGTCTCCACCCACTAGATGCCTGTAGCATCCCCCCCCAAATTGCCAAATGTCCCCTGGGAGGGAAGTCACCTCCAGGTGAGAACTCCTTGCGCAGACCCGTGTGGACCCCTTTCCAGGTCATGAACGTGAGCAGCTGCAGGTGGATGACCACGGAAGTAAGCACCAGCCACAGAGCCTCACAGCTGCTTGCTGTCACCTGTGGTATTGGGAGGGCACGGGGGTGGAAGGCAGGCGCTGGGGGATTGAGTGGCTTTAGAAGTCGACAGATCCTCGGGCGCCTGGGTGGCTCAGTTGGTTGGGCGACTGCCTTTGGCTTGGGTCGTGGTCCTGGAGTCCCGGGATCGAGTCCCGCATCGGGCTCCCTGCCCGGTGGGGAGCCTGCTTCTCCCTCTGACCCTCCCCCCTCTCATGTGCTCTCTGTCTCTCTCATGCTCTCTCTCTCAAATGAATAAGTCTTTAAAAAAAAAAAGAAGTCAACAGATCCTCATGGAAACCATGCAAATGGCAGTGGGCGGTCCCGCTGAAGTCAGGCCAGGGTCTCAGGGTGACAGCAGCAGAGGAAATGAAATCTGAGATCTGGGATTGGGTCATTTGTGGGGACAAACCTGAAAATGTTGAACTCCCAATTCCCCTGAGATGCCCTTGCAATGAGAGACCAGCCTCTCTTGATCGGAGGTCACCGTTCCTCCGTAAGCAGGTGTCTCCTGGGATGATACTCATTCACCTCAAGACCTGCCCCTACCACTTCCATTGCCTGTGGCAGATCCCAGCTCATGCTCCATGAATTGTAGGGTCTGACTAATGTGTTTTGGCAGGAACATGGGGATCACTGCAAGTGGATCTCGAGGGTGTTAGACGGGGTGGAACATGAGACAAACTGGGAGGAATCCATGGATGTGGGGTCACTCACCTATGATGAAGATTTTATCTAATATTTTGGGCTTTCTGAGTAGCTGCAAACTATGGCAAATGCATAACTATGGATCTCCCACATAATGCCTAAAGACAGATCAATATCAATACCCCTGTTCTGATGATGTATTGTGGTTAACTAGGAGAATGTCCTTGTTTGCAGGAAAAAAGATCAGTATTTGGGTGAATTAATCAGTTCTGCAACACAGTCTCAAATGGTTCAGGGGGGAAAAAAAAGCTTCTTTGTATTGTATTTATATACTCTTCCCGAAGTTTGTTTCAAAATAAATAAATGGAAAAGAAAAACAATGCAGAATTACAAAACAGCACAAAACCACATCTCCCCCCGAGAAGACAGAGAATGGCTGCACTTCAAAACAACGCCAAGTAAAACGAAAAGGCAAAACTTCACCAATTTCCAGTGAGCAAGCGCTCATGCTCTCACTCTTTTCATGTTTTTTATATTTCAACCATGTGAATGTGTTACTAGAATAAAATCAAGTTCCATAAATAAAAGCAAAGGGATGCATACATATGGCAAGACACTATCATTTACATCTGCATCTTCTTTTTCCATTTAGCAATAGATCTTGAAGATCATCTGTATCGCTACACAAAGGTCGATCGCATTCTTTAAAAAATACCTGTGCACGATTTCATCACGCGTCTGTATCACAGAGATGCCACAGGGAGAGTTTGCGGGAAGCCATGCAAAAGACCGAGGCAAGGGCTGTTGGCAGCCCTAACATTGGGTGAAAACCACCGCCAGAAAGAGAAGGTTGTGCAAACAGTAAAGAGAGCATTCGGACTGATCAGGGCACCGACCGCAGAGCACAGACCGTAGTCTGTGAGATGCTCAAGAACAGGGAGAGGCGTCCTTTGGACACTGCATGGTGAAGGGAAAAGGGAGAAAGAGGGGGAAATTAGGATTTTTCAAGAAGAAAGGAAAAAAAAAAAAATCAAGGACATAACCTTTCTCTCCACTCTGCCTCCCTGCAGGAGCCCCCTAGTAAAAAACTGTACTTCACCACTGACAGCAGAGGGCAGACTCGTACCAAAAATCTTTACTACAGCAAACAAGCGCGTTATCTAGGAATACCTGTCAACAGGAGCCGCACAGATCATCCCAACCACCAGCCCTGTTTAACAGAAATACACAGGTGCAAACATTATTTATCAAACACTGCCATCCAAATGAACCAGAAGATGAGAATCCCAAAACTCAGTTGATAACACCTAAGAGCAGAATTAGTAGGTCACACGGTAACCCTACGTACACAGCATTTTGAAGAACTGCTAGATTATGTTCCTCTCACATTCACAAGCGTATTCACAACAGCCCAAAGGTGGGAGCAACCCCATGCCCATCAGAGTTGACTGGATAAAGGAAGTGTGGAATGTTATTCAGCCCTCACACCCGCGACCACAGCGATGAGCCTTGAAAACACGACGCTAAGTGAAATAAGCCAGTCGCAAAGACAAATACCGTGTGGTTTCACGGACATGATGTCTCTAAAGAAGCCAGATTTGCCGAGATAGAAAATAGTATGGTGCTTACCAGGGGCAGCGGGGCGACGGTCTGGGAGATCGAGTGCTGGGACTGGAGCAGTAAGCCTTAATCTCTCCGGGCAGAACTCAGGAGCAGGCAGGGAGCTTCTGGGGGAGGCGCGGAGGCTGCTGGTCTAGCCACCAAATTGGCAGCACGTGGAGATGCCTGGGGAGATCCGAACACATGAAGACAATTGCAACTAACTACAATCAAGAGCTTCATTCTCCCTGTTGAAAACACGGGGAGAAACATCTCTCCTGTTGCTTAGAACATTTCTTTAGAAAACTTGAAAGTTCTCTCTCTGTCCCTTCGAAGTGTGTGCCAACATTTTTAGAAGGTAAGTAAGCCTCTTGCCAGCTCTGTGACCCAGGACTGTCTTTCTCGAGGACTGGGAATGTGAACGTGAAGGGAGGCGGCATTCCTATCTACCAGCTTCTGAAGGAGGACAGGAGCTCAACTCCATGTTGCAAAGCTGCCTCCCCACATAAAGCTGGGAGTGGTTTGTTTTTTCCTCTGCCTAAAGCCAATCAGCTGACACACGTGGTCTCCCCAGTCACCAGATAAATTTAGGATGATGGTGTTGTCAGGTCCACTGGATGTGATGAGCTGACCCTGCTTGACTCTGTGACAGGGCGGGACTGTTTCCTGTCTTTGCTATCTTGTTGGCAGATCTTGTCCTGATGCACATCACGTTCTGGCTTGAATACCTATTCAATAATAAAACTGTGTTCTTTCTCTTCTACCTTTGTGGAGAAGTTTTCTGGGTTGGGAGGTTTTGTTTAATGATACTTCCCCAATATTATGGGCTCAGCACTTGGTTTAGTTCCCCCGAGGGAACATAAGGGTTCTATATTCCCATTTCACAATCTTAACTGTGTCAGGCTCAGAAAACTTCAATCTCCCCTCTGTCTCCTGTTTTCTCTGTCTCTCTCATACATACAAACTACCCTCAATTTTTGTGCCAGGGGGTGGGGGGCTCCATTTTAACCTTCGCACTCCCATTCCTAATGCGGAGGGAAGGCACAAAGCTGTGACCATGCTTAGGGGCAGTCTTTGCATTTATCTTCACCATCCCTGACACACACTATTAGGGACTTCTCCAGGGCAGAATCTCCCTGATAATATCTCCCCCACATACAGATCCAGACCTGGCAGTTTTCCACCCTTGGAACATAGCCTGGGAATATACATGCACGTGCGCAACAGGATTCGTAAAAGAAAGCTGGTTGCATTTCTTTAATATGGAAAGATGAGGAACAATCTAAAAGTCAGCAATATGAGTCATCATAAGCAAGTTATGGTACCTCCAAGGAAAGGAACATCTTACAGCTGTTAGTGAGCATAAAAGTCATTTTGCTGGTACTGGTTTTTAGCACGTTGTCTGGGGGAGACATTTAATGGGGACATAGTGACATGTGGGTGGATGGGACCTACGTGCCTGGACCCCCGGCAGTGGGAGCACCATGGCACCTGTGGTGAGATAGAAGAAGAGGAGAGACACAGTGCCTTAGCAGCAGGAACTGTTTTCCCTGAGTGGCCAGGGAACCACCATTAATACAAGCATCCAGGAGATGGCTGAAAATGAGAGTCCAACCGATGGAGTCCTTTGGGGCTGGAAATTCAGGAGTGGGGGTGCTCTCCTTAGAGGTGAGTCACCACACGCTAGGAGGGGATGAGCTCTCCCAGGAGGGAGAGGGTGGCAAGAGGTGTGTAGGTTGAGGGCCAACTTTGGTGGATCTGATAGGAACTGGGAAGAAGAAAACTGGGTGATGATAAGGAGGGGAGAAAGCCTGTCTTGTCCAGCAAGCATCAGCCCCTGCAGAGAAACACAGGGAACTGAAGGATGAATAACGGCTGCTTGTGGTACCTTCCTCCATCTTCAGAGCCACCAATGGCTGGTTGAGTCCTTCTCCCACTGCCTGACTCTTGTTTTTTCTGACTCCCTCTTCTACATTTAAAAACCCTTGCGATTCAGTGTAGTGATCTGAAGGGGCAATGCACCCTAATGTTTATAGCAGCAATGTCCACAATAGCCAAACTATAGAAAGAGCCTAGATGTCCATCAACAGATGAATGAATAAAGAAGATATGGTATACACACACACACACACACACACAGGAATATTATGCAGTCATCAAAAAGAATGAAATCTTGCCATTTGCAATGACATGGATAGAACTAGAGGGTATTATGCTAAGTGAAATAAGTCAATCAGAGAAAGACAAGCATCCTATGATCTCACTGATATGAGGAATTTAAGAAACAAGACAGAGGATCATGGTGGGGAAGGGAGGGAAAAATGAAACAAGATGAAACCAGAGAGGGAGACAAACCATAAGAGACTCTTAATCTCAGGAAACAGACTGAGGCTTGCTGGAGTGGAGGGGGAGGGATGGGGTGGCTGGGTGGTGGACATTGGGGGGGGGGTATGTGCTATGGTAAGTGCTGTGAATTGTGTAAGATCGATGAATCACAGACCTGTACTCCGAAACAGATAATACAGTATATGTTAATAAAACAACAACAACAACAAAACCCTTGTGATTCATTCAGCTTGTCTGGATAGTCCAGGATTACCTACTTATTTTCAGATCAGCTGATTAGCCACCTTAATTCCATCAGAGCTGGAATTCACCTTTGCTGCATAAGGTGACATATGCACAAGCTCTGAGGATGGAGATGTGGACATCTTCAGGGCATCATTATTCTGTCTTGCTCACTACACCCTCCCCGTTGGATTACCCTGGACCAGTTGTCCCTGTTTGAATTGAGAACTCATGAGTGCGAAAATCATAGCATGGAGTCATTCAGGTTGTCACCTGCATAGGGACAGTTGGCCAGTGAGTGAATGGGAATATAACTATCCCACCTGCTTCTCCCCAGACTGCAAGGCCTAGCTTGCGGCAATGGCCACTTCAAGGAACTGATATTATTCTTCCCATTAGTGAAATAATGTCCTATGGGATATTGGCATATAATGGGTTGAATAGTGTCCCCTCCCAAAAGATAGGTCTGTCCAGAGTCTTGGGATGTGATCTTCTTTGGAATAAGAGTCTTGACGATGTAATTAAGAATCTTGAGATGAGACCATCCTGGATCAGGATGAGCCCTAAATCCAATGATGAGTATCCCCACTGGAGGCATAAAAGGAGAAGACACATGTGAAGAACACATGAAGATGAAGGTAGAGATCAGGATGAGCCTGTACAAGCCGAGGGACACTGAGGCCACCAGCAGCTGGGAGAGAGGCATCGAATGGGTTTCCCTCAGAGCCTCCAGAAGGAACGAGTCCCAACAACACCTTACTTTTGGACTTCTGGGCTCCAGAACTGTGACAGAGTAATTTTCTTTTGTATTTTTTCCAATTAAAAAAAATTTTTTTTTAAAGATTTTATTTATTTATTTGAGAGAGAGAGAGAGAGCACATGAGAGCGGGGAGGGTCAGAGGGAGAAGCAGGCTCCCTGACGAGCAGAGAGCCCGATGCGGGACTCGATCCCGGGACTCCAGGATCATGACCTGAGCTGAAGGCAGTCGCTTAACCAACTGAGCCACCCAGGCACCCTCCAATTAAAATTTTTTATTTATTAAAAACATTTTTCCATTTTTAAAATTGTAAAAAAAATTGTGGCATATACTTGTTGATAATAATTTCTTTTTTTTTAAAAGATTTTATTTATTTATTTGAGAGAGAGAATGAGAGAGAGCACATGAGAGGGGGGGAGGGACAGAGGGAGAAGCAGACCCCCCGCCGAGCAGGGAGCCCGATGCGGGACTTGATCCAGGGACTCCAGGATCATGACCTGAGCCGAAGGCAGTCGCTTAACCAACTGAGCCACCCAGGCGCCCCGATAATAATTTCTAATAATTGTTTCTATTTCCTTGGTGTTAGTCATGATCTCTCCCCTTTCATTCATAATTTTATTAATTTGGGTCCTTTCTGTTTTCTTTTGGGTAAGTCTGGCCAGTGGTTTATCGATCTTTTTAATTCTTTCAAAGAACCAGCTTCTAGTTTTGTTGATCTGATCTACCGTGTTTCTGGTTTCTAACGAGCAATCTGGATGAAATGGATGCCTTCCTGGAAACCTATGAACTGCCAAGACTGAAAGAGGAAGAAATTGACAACCTGAATATGCCAATAACCAGTAATGAGATTGAAGCAGTGATCAAAAACCTCCCAAAAAACAAGAGTCCAGGGCCTGATGGATTCCCCGGGGAATTCTACCAAACATTCAAAGGAGAAATAATACCTATTCTCCTGAAGCGGTTTCAAAAAATAGAAACAGAAGGAAAGCTTCCAGACTATGAGGCCAGCATTACCTTGATCCCCAAACCAGGCAAAGACCCCATCAAAAAGGAGAATTTCAGGGGCACCTGGATGGCTCAGTCATTAAGCATCTGCCTTCGGCTCAGGTCATGATCCCAGGGTCCTGGGATCGAGCCCTGCATCAGGCTCCCTGCTTAGCAGGAAGCCTGCTTCTCCCTCTCCCACTCCCCTGCTTGTGTTCCCTCTCTTGCTGTGTCTCTCTTTGTCAAATAAATACATAAAATCTTAAAAAAAAAAAAAGAATTTCAGACCAATATCCCTGATGAATATGGATTCCAAAATCCTCAACAAAATCCTAGCTAATAGGATCCAACAATACATTAAAAGGAAAATCCACCACGACCAAGTGGGATTTATCCCCGGGTGGTTCAACATTCGTGAATCAATCAATGTGATAGAACACATTAATGGGAGGAGAGAGAAGAACCATATGGTCCTCTCAATTGATGCAGAAAAGGCATTTGACAAAATACAGCATCCTTTCCTGATTAAAACTCTTCAGAGTATAGGGATAGAGGGAACACTCCTCAAGTTCATAAAATCCATCTATGAAAAACCCACAGCGAGTATCATCCTCAGTGAGGAAAAGCTGAAAGCCTTTCCCTTAAGATCAGGAACACTTCAAGGATGCCCACTCTCACCACTATTATTTAACATAGTACTAGAAGTCCTAGCAACAGCAATTAGATAACAAAAAGAAATAAAAGGTATTCAAATTGGCAAAAAAGAAGTCAAATTCTCTCTTTTCGCAGATGACATGATACTTTATGTGGAAAACCCAAAAGACTCCACCCCCAAATTACTAGAACTCATCCAGCAATTCAGTAATGTGGCAGGATACAAAATCAATGCACAGAAATCAGTTGCTTTCTTATACAACAACGCAACTGTAGAAAGAGAAATTAGAGAAACGATTCCATTTACAATAGCACCAAAAACCATAAGATACCTCGGAATAAACCTAACCAAAGAGGTAAAGGATCTATACTCTAGGAACTACAAAACACTCATGAAAGAAATTGAAGACACAAAAAGATGGAAAAACATTCCATGCTCATGGATCAGAAGAATAAACATTGTTAAAATGTCTATGCTACCCAGAGCAATCTATACCTTCAATGCCATCCCGATCAAAATTCCAACGACATTTTTCAAAGTGCTGGAACAAACAATCCTAAAATTTGTATGGAATCAGAAAAGACCCCAAATCGCCAAGGATATGTTGAAAAAGAAAAACAGCTGGGGGCATCATGTTGCCCAATTTCAAGCTATATTACAAAGTAGTGATCACCAAGACAGCATGGTATTGGCACAAAAACAGACATATAGACCAATGGAACAGAATAGAGAGCCCAGATATGGACCCTCAACTCTATGGTCAAATAATCTTTGACAAAGCAGGAAAAAATATGCA